AGACAGCCTACCAAGGCAAAAAATATTTAAACAGTAACCACTCTACTACAGTCAAACACCATAGAAAAAACTATGGCCCCAAGTGAGGAGCTTAGACTTCCACACTTGCCAGGCTGTAACAAGGTGCCCCAACCCCATGCCAGAGCAGTGTCAGAGAAGGCCGAGTAGGAACTGGAACTTTCATCCCCATCTAGCAGTTTGAGCCCCTCACTGCCCCCAACCACATAATGTCAATGGAGACCACTGGACTGGAGGAGCCTGGACTTCTTCCCCCATCCAGCAGTAAAGAAGCACCCCTCCTTTCTATACTAGGGTGGTGCCAGTGGAGTCCACATGGAAAGCAGTAATCAGGCACTCCCACTCCTCTCAGACAGAGCGGTATCAGTGGAGGCCTTAGTGCAGAGCCAGAATTCCATCTCTCACCCTCTGCCACTTGGGTGTCAACAGAGGTTGAGGGGGAAACCTGTACTTCTACCCCCACCTGGCAGTAATGTAGTGCCACCACCTTTCCCCTGCCGTATTGGTGTCATAGGAAACCAGCTAAGAGAGAATTAAATAAGATACAGAGTCGCATAATATCTAAAATATCCTGGTTCAACGAAAAATCACTTGTCATACGAAGAATCAGGAAAATCTCAACTTGAATGAACTGGATAATCAGTAGATGCTGGAACAAAAATGACAGACATATTAGAATTACATGACAGAGGGCCGGCCCTGTGGCTTGGTGGTTAAGTGCGCGCGCTGCAATGCTGGTGGCCCGGGTTCGGATCCCGGGTGCGCATCGAGGCACCACTTCTCCGTCCATCCTGAGGCCGAGTCCCACATACAGCAACTAGAAGGATGTGCAGCTATGACATACAACTATCTACTGGGGCTTTGGAGGCAAAAAATAAAATAAATAAAAATCTTTAAAAAAAAAAAAAAAAGAATTACATGACAGAGATTTTAAAGCAGTCATCATAAAAATGCTTCAATGAGCAATTACAAACATGCTTAAAACAAATTAAAAAGTAGAAACTCTCAGCAAAGAAAGAGAAATTCTCAGCAAAGAAATCAAAATGTATAAAAGAACCAAAAGGAAATTTTAGAACTGAAAATTACAATAACCAAAATTTAAAAACGTAATGGATGGCCTCAACAGCAGAGGAAAAACCTCCATGAACCTGAAGATAGAACAAGAGAACAATAGAAATTACCCAATCTGAACAACAGAGAGAAAAAGACAGAAAAGAAAATTAAAAAACAATAACAGAGCCTCAGGGTCCTGTGGGGCCTAGGGCCAGCCCCACAGCTTAGCGGTTAAGCGCGTGCACTCCGCTGCTGGCGGCCCAGGTTCGGATCCCGGGCGTGCACCCACGCACCACTTCTCCGGCCATGCTGAGGCCGCGTCCCATATACACCAACTAGAAGGATGTGCAACTATGACATACAGCTATCTACTGGGGCTTTGGGGGAAAAAAAGGAGGAGGATTGGCAATAGATGTTAGCTTAGAGCCAGTCTTCCTCAGCAAAAAGAGGAGGATTAGCATGGATGTTAGCTCAGAGCTGATCTTCCTCACAAAAAAAGAAAAAAGAAAAAAGGCCTAATATTCGTGTCATCTGAGTTCCAAAAGGAGAGGAGAAACAGGGCAGTCCTCAGAACGAACTCAAAGAAATAATGGCTGAAAACTTCCCCAATTTGGCAAGACATAAACCTAAAGATTTAAAAAGGCAAGCAAACTCCAACCATGATAAACCCAAAGAAATCCACACCACGACACATCATAATCAAATATCTGAAAATAAAGACAGAAAAAAATCTTGAAAGCAGCAAGAGAAACAACTTATTTATAGGGGAAAAACAATACAAATGACAGCAGAAAACATCGTCAGACACAAAAGCCAGAAGGAAGTGGCACGATGTTTTTTAAGTGCTGAAAGAAAAGAACTGCCAATCCTGATTTCTATACATGGTGAATTTATCTTTCAGGCATGAAAGGGAAATAAAGACACTGGATGAAGGAAAACAAGAGAATGTGTCAGTAGCAGACCTACCTGAAAAGAATGGCTAAAGGAAGTTCTCTAAACAGAAAGGAAATGATAAAAGGAACTTTGGAACATCAAGAAAGAAGAAAACCATGGAAAGGGAAAAATATGGGTAAATAAAACATATATTCCTTTTTCTCTTGAGCTTTCCAAATGTTTGACAGTTGAAGCAAAAATTATAACACTATTTGATATGGGTGTACATGTATGTAGAGAAATATTTAAGACAATTACATTATAAGCAGAGGAGAGTAAAGGGAGACATACAGGGAGGTAAGATTTCTATACTTCAAAGCAGTAAAATGTTAACTCAATTAGACTGTGATAAGTTATGTGTATATAACATAACACCTACAGCAACCACTAAAAAAAAGTTGTACAAAGAGATACACTTAAAAAACACTATACATAAGCCAAAATGGAAAATTTTTTTTGTAACATTCAAGTAACCCACAGGAAGGCAAGACAATAGGAAACAGAAAAAACAAGACAAACAGAAAACAAAAAGTAAAATGGCAGACTTAAGCCCCAACATATCAATAATTAAATATGAATGGTCTAAAGTAAACCAAATGCTTGAAAATTGGGGGGTTTCTGGATTACAGAAATAGAATAGCCTACACCATTATCAAAATTTGTCCAATATTTATATATAAATTGCACAAAATTTACATTAACTATTATTTACTATTTTGTTTGATTAATTTGGGGTACAAATTAATTGATTTTATATAATATCGATACCACACAGAACTTGTACATAGTGCAAATAACTTATGTAAACCTCTCAGCTCAGTCCACACCTTGCACAGTGGTAGCTATCACTCTGAGGACATGATTGGCTGGGGCTCCTCATCATTTGCTTGCTCGTGTGATAAGTTCCCACAGGGCTCTCTCAAGTGTTTACTCCTCCAAATATATACACTATTCCTAATTGACCTCATCCAAACCCATAGCTTCAACTGCCACTTACACCAGGATCAGCAAATACTCAGTACACGTGCTACAAATTCCCCCTTCAACCAATTCCAGGGTTTGGCACTCTAGGCTGCCACTTTTAACTGATCAGTTAGAATTTGAAATTAAATTTGTTTCCATTCTGGATAGATACTAATCAGTGCCTATTTTAAGTCCACCAACACTTTCCCCTGGCTAAATTTCACAAGTCATTCTAATGGTCTATCATAAAATTCCATGCTGAAATCTGCTTACAATTAAAAAGAAAATGGAAAGAGAAATTGGAAAAATAGTGACTGGAAGAACAGAAATAGTTTTATAGTCTTAAAAGAGATCAGTGGAGGCCTTGGAACTACTTTCCTAGTTAGAGGAAAAGCCCTGAGACAAGGGGCTTGATGGAGTCAGGATAAGGCATCCAAAAATCTGATGTATTCTGGTACAAACCCATCATAGGAGTAAGGGATTTATTGCATGTTGTATAAAAACCACTAGCGAACATGGAATATTTCTCCCTGAGACAAGCTAATAAGTTAATAATTCTTTAAGTTAATGATTCCAAACATTGGTATATCATATATTGAAATATATTAAGGAGCACAAAGAAACTTTCAACTGATTTAGTATAATTGACTCATTTTACAGGAGGCAGCTAGGGTTCATAAGTGGCAGAAATACGACTAGAATCTATATCTCCCCATTCCCAAGTCTGCACACCACTCTAAATTTCTACCATTTTTGTTTGTCATTTTACACTATTGCATATACCTACTGTGAAGTACAAATATGTGCAATATCAACTAATTTAACGTAAACTCATATATACCCTTTTGCAAAAATCTAGTGTAAACGTTAAAAAAGCAAGGGTAATTGTATCCACCCCTCACTGAACCAAACCAGTTCTAGAATAAGATGTCCTATCCTGTCTGTGGTATGAAGAATAATGGCCTGCCAAAGATGCTCACTCACTAATTCCTGGAACCAGTGAATACGTTAAATTATGTGGTAAAGGGGAATTAAGGTGGCTAATCAATTGACCTTGAAATAGACAGTATCTTGGATTACCCAGGTGGGGCCCAATGTGTTCTTAGGGTCCTTAAAATTAGAAGAGGGAGGCAGTAGAGTCAGTGTCAGTGACTCTGTGATGTGTGAGAATCAACCAGCCATTGCTGGCTTTGAAGACACAAGAGGGCCAAGGAAAGTAGGCTTGAAAATGGATTCTTCCATAAAGCCTCCAGAAAGGAACTCAGTCATGCTGACACATGGTTTTTAACCCAGTGAGATGCCTTTCAGATTTCTGAGCTACAAAACTGTAAAATAATAGGTTTGTGTTGTCTTTTTTTTTCTGGTGAGGAAGATCAGCCCTGAGCTAACATCGGTTGCCAATCTTCCTCTTTTTGCTGAGGAAGATTAGCCCTGAGCTAACATCTGTGCCCACCTTCCTCTATTTGGTATATGAGATGCCACCGCAGCACGGCTTGATAAGCCGCGCGTAAGTCTACACCAGGCCACTGAAGCGGAGCACGCAAACTTAACCACTACACCACCAGGCTGGCCCCTGCGTTGTCTTAAGCAACTAAGTTTGTGGTAATTTGTTATAGCAGGAATAAGAAAACTAAAGATACTTTCCATAGATTCACTTCATGCTTTCCTGTGGCCATCAAGAGTGGGAGCCTGGGGCAGGCCCCGCGGCTTAGCGGTTAAGTGCACGTGCTCCGCTGCTGGCGGCCCGGGGTTCGGATCCGGGGCGCGCACCCACGTACAGCTGCACCGACGTCCGGCTTCTCTAGCCATGCTGAGGCCGCGTCCCACATACAGCAACTAGAAGGATGTGCAGCTATGACATACAACTATCTACTGGGGCTTTGGGGAAAATAAATAAATAAATAATTTAAAAAAAAAAGAGTGGGAGCCTGGTTATAAAGAATCTATCAAAGAGGAATAAATGATTATTGGTACTAACACAAGGCAACTAAGTAATCTGTTCCCTTATAAAACAAAAACCCCTCTCAGAATTCATTTCAAAGGAACGTTTATTGACCCCATATTAAATGCGACATGGTTAAGAGATGCCCCTTCTCTGTCTGTACACAATTCCCTCTGCTGTTTATCCTCAGCTGGGTACATCCTATGTCTCAGAGTCTTTTACAATTATGCCTTTTCCTATAATGGAATGGTAGGCTTGTTCAGAAACTCACAATCTTCTTAGAAAGTTGTTAGCAGAGTGTTGGTTACAGGTAATGGAAAATCTGCTTCATTTTCTAAATTTAAAACAAAAAAACAGGAGTTACCAAGAGAAACAAGAGAACCTAGTGCTCAAAAGATCAGGTCCATCTTTCCCACTTCCCACTGTGACCTTCAGCATGTGACTTAATCTCTTTAAGGTCTAATTTCTTATTCTCCCTTCCTCTCTTTGTGTCTTAAGTGAGATATTTACACACTGTCTGGGTATCCATTTTACTTCATGAAGAAATCATTTTAGTGGCTTCCAAAAAAGCCAAGAGTGAGGCCAAGTATTAAAACTGGCACCTCCTGATTCAGAGCCCCAAGGCTTTACAGTTTTTAACTGAATGATATGTTCTATGCATCAGAATATCTGATGCCTTTTCTTCAGGCTCTCCCTTAAAAAAATTTCATGGACTGGACTGGAATCCATATCCTAGAGAGACAAGAAGAAAAGGAATCTTAGAAAACTTAAGGGAGAGGACTTATTTATGCTATGCCTATCTGGTTACTGAAAATCCAGACAATTAGACTTGGAAGATAAACCTCAGAGAGAAAAGAAGTTGTCTTTAACCTCCATCTTAGATTTTATAGCTGATCTCAGATTTTATAGCTGATCTCAACATCTGGGAAAGCTGTTTAGAATCCTTTCCCAGTGGATTAAAACCAGCACGGAAAATGGTATCGAATCTCTAATTAAAGATATCAGGGGCAAGAGAGAAGAAACTTACAAAAAAGCACTGAGACAGACTCATCACTTCCAAATGAGGTGCTGGGCTCATCTGCAATTAAGTAAAGAAATGGTTTTTATTCATTTCCAGTAATGTGCGTCTAGTGTTCAGTATGTCCAGTATTCAGCCAATAGCCTCAAGAAGCCCTAGTTAATGTAGGACTCCACTGTGTCTGTGACACTGCAACTTTCCTTCTCCTAACCGCCAAGGCACTCTGCCAGGCCTGAAATCTTACCAGTGGAAACGGAACGCAAATGCTCTCCATGAGAAGGATTTGGGTAAAGGGTTGGTCTCCACTCACACTTGGAAGCCTTGAGAGTAGCACATGAACCAGTCGCATCCCCATGCGCAAGAGCCATATTCTCTCTTCTCCCCCAAAAGTGGATTCAGCTAAGTGAATGTGGCACCTGGCCGAGAAGGGTGTAAACACAGGCAGAGCACCTACCAGAGACCCACTTCTTGAGTCAGTCCTGGAAAGCCTCCCAAGAAAAAATTCCTCAAAGACCAAGAATAGGCAAAAAAGTCAAAGATCTTTGGACTTACCTGATGCTCCAGGGACGAGCTCATCGAAATAAGCAGCAGTGACACCTTCTAGAAATAAAGGAGTAAGTTTCTTAATTTAAAAGGTTAAAACCTCCATGGATTTTCTCTTCTTATTAAAAACCAAAATTTCTCAATATATACATATATCAAATCTTTATGTTATACACCTTAAACTTATATAATGTTATATGTCAGTTATATCTCAGTAAAACTGAAAAACAAAAAATAAATGCATTACAGAAGAAAGAAAAAACACTAACAAAGCTTCTTGGTTTATTGGTAATTGCCACAGTCAGAAAGCATCTCTTGATAAGCAGGCTATGGAGTCTGGTATATTAGGAGAAATGATCAGATGGATCTGGGCCACGAGGCTGCTTCTTGCTCTTGTAGTCAAACATGAGAATTTACCTAATGCCCCATAGGATGGGAGTGGGGGTGGGAAGGCAGGAGAAAACATTAACTTACGTTAATTTATTAATCAACCACTATAGGTTGGGTAGTTAGAAGACAATACTGAGGTACAGCTTCACTTTGCAAATGAGGTATATTCTTCGAGGAAGACAATTAGTGTAAGGGCAAGAATTTAAAACCAGAGAAACAACCCTTTTTAACAGGCTCTTCAGCCTCACTAAAATACGATTTCTAGATTCCTCCACTACTACCTGCAATCCCGCAATACACTTAGAGCAGTGCTGGAATATAGATCTCAATACATATTAGCTATTATTTGCACACATAAGAATCAGATTGTTTAGAAATTTGCTTTTGTAGGCAAGGTCCAAGGCTCTTTCACAGCAAAAGTCCCAGCCATTCCTCAAACTATTGGGGTTTGTTTGTAGGGGCAGAAGACACTGAAATCTTATGACCCCTTGGCTAAGTGGCAGATAGAAAAATGAAAACCGATGGAGGCTTGAGAAAGAGATGGGCAGGGACTTCATGTTTAATTCACAAAGCTTTTAAATCTTTTTCTTCTATTCAGTCTAAATACAAATAAGATTTACACTTACCATAATCTTCACTGGAAAAGTTCTCTGTGTGAATTGTATCGTAGTCAACCAGAAAAGAAAAGGAAATTATTAACCTTTTTCTTGCCACCACATCCATCAACACCTTGGAGATACCAAGCCCAGAAGGCTGGTCCTGGAGATCAGGTGGGAGCAGATCTCTGGGCTGGAGCTATGTTGGTGTTCAACTGGTTTCATCTCCTGACACTCTAGGAAAATGCTTCAATTTTCCTCAACTTTCAAAGATCTTTTGGCAAAGTTTACTCCACCTCAGATAACAAAGCAGCAAAAGTATCCCCAAATGTATAAGTGACCATAGGACATTCGTATGCAATGAGCTATAAACAAAGAAAGGGAGGCAGGGAGAAATCTGCATTTTTGAAGACAGGAATCCTTACCTGTGGCCTCACTGGCTTCTTTCACAAAGCTGAGGATGTCTGATTCCACAGCAGTAGACAATTCTAGGAAAACAAAATGGAAGATGGGTGTGGTCACAAGCTTACGCTGGGAATCAAGTTCACTGGAGGACAGCAGGGAAAGCAGGCTTTCCCTCAGAAATGCAAAGTGGGAGCCCACCAACTCCTGCCCAGGCCTCCTCTGAAGCCAGAACCCTTGCTTACCAGAAGCCTGTGTGTTCGCTTCTGTGGTCAATCCTGCATCACGAATGAAATCTAGGTCAGTGGCCGACTCCAGGTCTGTGGCCGACTCCAGGTCTGTGGTCGACTCCAGGTCACTGGTTAACTCTAGTTCAGTGCTCGGCTTTAGGTTAATGATCATGTCTCCATCAATGACGGGCTTTCCATTAAAGGGCCCTATGATCACAGATGGCTCTTCAGACGGCGCTACGACAATGACCGGCGTGCCCTCAGCAGATAGCGCTGGGTCAGCAATAATCTCTAGGAATTCTAGAAGACAAAAAAGAAAAGAACAGCTCAAGCACTTTCTAGCAACAATATTTCCACAATCTCCACATACTTCCCATTCCAGCTAAATCTTTTTCTGGGGAAAACACGGAACATAAAAGGGCATATTGAATCAAATGTGGTCTCACCACAAGTCTCTCTTCTGCCAACTGCTAGAAAGTCCAGAAGACTAACCGCTACCCAGGAGTATGCTCAGTGTCCCTACACCACCCTCTTTTGAGGGGGTCAGGTTAGGAAGGAGCATTTGATATTGTGTCTCCAAATGTGAATTGGTCAGACTGGAACAAAAAAAAATTTCAGAGAGTCCCCCTCTATAATCTTTCCAGGCTCCTGAAAACTAAACAAAAACAAAAGGGGGTTCAGAGCAAGGAAAACAGCTGTTTCCAAAGTGCATGAACAAGAATGGCATCGACTCTAAAATGGGCTGCTCCTGCTATTTTGTCATTTAATGGGCTATGTCTAGGACTTCATTTTCCAGTCTGTCCCATAGAATGCACAGTCTAGATGTTTTGGGGCTTGCTAACCATAAAAGCATCATAACCATGTAAGCCTAATGGGCATTCAACCAGGGTCTTCTTGGACTATAGTCAAAGATACGTAGTCACTGTGGCTGCCTGGTTCAGCAGGTTATGGGCATCCTGCCAATAAGGCCAAAATCATTAGCTCTCTGATTTAGTCACTTTGCTTTATCATTCATTCATATGCAGTAAAGAACCCCAAACCCCGCATCTGATAAACTGAGAGCTACCAGAAGGAAAACTGGGAGGAAGGGGATGGGGGAAAGTAACCATTTTAATGCAAATGAATGAACAAGAAAAAATAGCTGAGAAATAAATTGACTTCTGAGAAATAAATTGACTTCAGGAAGGACTAGAAAAAGAAAGACTTTGGGGGAAAGCTTCCTTTCTCTGCTTCATGAAGACACCTATTTCTTTCCTTTCTCAATGTGACTCACAAGTTTCCATTCCAGACCCACTGATCTGCATGTGACTGACCTAGCGTGACTGACCTAGCGCTGAAGCACTTGGAATCTTACTCTACTATCACATGAGGGCACCCCTAGGACTCTTTACCTGAATTAAATAGGATAAAGCCTCGTTAGCACTCAGCAGTAAACAAGACCACAGAAAACTCTCGATGGTTCTCTAATCACCCACCTTAAGCCCATCTGGTCCAGTCTTATTACCTTTATAAGGTCAATTCAAACACATAACCCACATTTTAGCTTAGCCACTCAACCACACAAGGTCTCAGAGCTCAGCCACCCATCCCCACCTTGAGACCAACTTGACATAAATTTTACCCATTTCATTTTACGATGTTCACCGCAGGTCTCTCTTTCTTTCGGCGTGCACGGAAAGACACGCACACACACCCCATGAAAGGATTTTAGTCCCATTCTCCAAAAGACTTGCCAATGGTCTACCTACCGTAAACTGGTGCAGGATATGCCACAGCCAGGGCGAACCAGGCAGAGAGGACCAGCGCAGTCCTGAGCATGGTGGCGGAGAGGAGTGCAGGAGGCTCTCGAAGACGTGCAGGCAGGCGGCAGGCTCTGGATGTGCTGCACCCGGAGCTCCAACTGGGCTTTTTATAACCCTCAGCCCCAGGTCCCTGAAGGACCCATCCCCAGGTGGTTATGCAAGCCTCGCCCAAACACAGTAAGAATGCCCCTGGAGGGAAGAAAAGGAAACTGTGGGGGAGGGAGAAACAAGGAGGGGTTTGGAGGAAAACTCCACGAGGTCCTTGGCAGCGAAATTAGGTCGCATTGCCCCATTACCATTAGCACCAATTATCTGCTTCTCAGAGGGGCAGGGAGAAATTCTAGTTCCACTAGGTCGCAGACGACTCCCCTCCCGGCCCAAGGTTGCAACTTTGTCATCTAGGCTGGAGCCAAATAGTGCTTTACTGAGCTCGGGAAATGCTGCTTTATATCAGAGTGCGGGACTAAGAATGGTGGTGGGAGCCTGCTGACTGTTCTGACTATAAGGAAGAGTCCTATTGTATACAGTCTTCTAACCCCAGAGGGTCTCTCAAAGAGGATAACAATTACTACTACAATAATAATAACAGAAATATCTAAAATTATAAGATTTCACGTGTGCTGCTACTTTATTTGATTCTCACCAGGGTCCTATGTGGGGGGCATCATTATCCCTATTTTTCTGGTGAGGAACCTAGAAGCGGAGAGATTAAATGACTCCCGATTCAGCTGAAGGTCTTCAGCTACATGATGTCATTAACAGCCTGTACTTCTTGGCTGTGCGGACCTGGCTCCTGCTAGTGACCTTCCCAGTCCTCTAGAGGGCAGTATTAAGCTGCGATGCATCCTTGGCTGAAGCACTGACTCGAACTCGCCCAGCAGATGCAAAATAAGCTGAGAATGTGCTAGTGAGGAACTGGCTCACATAAACCAGCCTCAGCGCTCAGTCAAGTCAGGACCAGCACCTGGAAAGGAGGTCTTGCTCGCTTACGCACAACTCCCATCACAAGGTCAAACTCCCATGATGCCTGTAGGTCTCAGTTTACTTCAAAGGTCACAGCTGATTCCTGCTCTTCAGAAACCACAGGGTTGACAATTCCATTAAGAGAAGTCTCTCAGCAACAGTAATAACAGCTAACATTTATTAAGTGCTTAACTATGTGCCATAGGCATATATCATTCTATCCTAACTCCAAACCTAAGGTCATCTTATTATTCTTTTTCTCCTTGAAGAAACCATGGCACAGGGAGGTTAGGGAACTTATGAAAGGTCACACAGTAGAAAGTGTTATAGAATCAAGAAGCAAATCTTTGGGCAGTCTGATGTTAGGGCCTTCAACCACTCTACTACTGTGTCCTGTGTCGTCGTCCCAACAACAGTACCCGTCGTCCTGTCATGCCCCACCCCTGGCCCAGTTATCTCCCTGATCTCTTCATTGCTGGCTTTGTCCTGTGCAGTGTGACACTGCACAGGCTTCACCTTAAAGGCAAGGGGGAAACACACACACACACACACTAGAGAACGTTTTGTTTTTCTGGAAACTAAATTTCCGTGGCAAGTCCTGTGTAATGAAGTATAACACAAACACAGTAGTCAGGAGCTTGGGAAGAAGAAGCTCATGGAAAACTTGTAGGCAAATAACACCAGCAAACAACAGGACTCAAATGAGACAATAATGCAGTAAGTCACG